GCCGTCGGAAGCCGTCTTGGGGGTCTCTTTGGGCCGACTCGGGGCCCTCGCGTGGCGGCTTTGGGTAATCGTCAAGGCCATCTTGGGCGTCTTTGAGGTCTCCTGGGCCGTCGTGGGGCCTTCGTTGGGCCGTCTTGGGGGCCTCTTTGGCCGACGGGGGCCATCACGGAGGGCCCTTGGGCGCTCTTGGGGCCATCTCAGTGGCCTCTGGGGCCGTCCTAGGCCGTCGGGAAGCCGAGCATGAGCAAGCTCGACCATTTGTCAATAACCCGAAGAAATCCAAGCGTTTGGCCTGTTCAGGATTTCTTGGCGGTCCTCTTGGAGGCCTCTTGGGCAGTCCGGGGCAAGTGTAGCAGTCTTGGAGACCATCTCGGCTGTCGTGGAGGCCATTTTGGGGCCGTCTGGAGCGGAAGGCCGACGGCCTGGGAAGTGTCAGGGTCCTTACGGGGCGGGAAGCCGACGGGAGAGACCCTTCATGGGTCTTTCTGGGTGGCCAGCGCGGTCGGCCGAAGGCCCATCTGGAAGTTTTCAAAGCACCAGGAACCATTCAAAGTCCAGCACGCCGTGCAACCTTGCGGCAAGCTGACAGGGGGCGGTGGGTCTAATGCCTTTCGGACCATTTTGTCACCGCGCCTAGGTTGAAGGTCAGGGGCCTCTTGGATGCTTGTGATCCCTTAGAAGGCCTCTCGGGAGCCTCTTGGAGTCGGTTTGGGAATGTTTTTTGGGGGGGCTCTCGTGGACATCTTCGGGATTTCTTGGGGACTGTTTTGGGCCTCTCGGGTGCCCCATGGAGCTTCTGGGAGTCTTCTCAAGGACCTGCTGCCGATCTCGGGGGTCGTCTTGAGGCGGAGCGACCGACATGTCGGTTCGTGTTCCCCCCTCTGGGGCCTGTCTTGGGCCCCTCTTGGGGCCCTCGCCTCTTGGCGGCCTCTTGGCGGCCGTCGTGGGGCAATATTGGGGACCTGTTCGGCCGTCTGAGAGCGTCGGAAGCCCGAGAAGGCTGGAAGCCCGACAAAAACACGCGGAGCATCAATGAATGCTTGCCTCGGGGGGGGGCCCTCTCAGGGGGGTTCTTAGAGACATCATGGAACGCCTTGGGAGACTCTTGGGCTCTCTGGAGGCCACCTTTGCCATCTTGGAGCGGTGTCTTGACGACTCGCCAGTCCCCCCTGGACCGTCTTGGGGGCCATTGGGGGCTTTTCTGGCCTGGTTGGGGCCTTTCTTGGCTCCGAGAAAGGCATTCGACAATAGCCGGGAACCCTTACAAAGTCCAGGAAGTACGGTAGAAGGGAACAATTAGTGGACACTCCCCCGCACCCCCCAAACTCAAAGTTGGCACGCGCGGGGAAGACTGCGGTCGAAGTGCAGCTCATTCAACCCACCGCCAACATTGATCACTGGGGGGACATTGACAGATGAATGCGGCATGAGCGTTCGCTAATTTCTTCCGAGACCTGTAGGGTTTGGGCATTCATCACTCACTCACTCGGGACAGAGGACGGGAAGCCTCGAGCATCCAACAGCCTTGAGAAAACCCTCGAGCATCCTGGACGAACTTGGGATATCTGCGAATGGTGCATTGACATAGTGACCCCACCGCTACCGGCGGGCAACTCTTAGCCAGGCGGATTCCCGCTGGAGGTTCGGAATGCATCAAGACAGAGGAGCCACCTGACCGAGAAGCCCGTGGCCACTCGCGCTGCTGGCAGCAGCGGCGATCCTCTCTGCTCCTGTGCTCCACTCGGCGCGCCCGGGGGGAAGCGAGAGAGAGGGCGGGCCCCTCTCAGAATCTGCACGAACGAAATGGGCGCGCCGCCGAGGCCCGCGTCCATTTGAGACAGGAGGCCGCCTGCCCAACAGCGGCCGCTGCTGGTCTGGGACACCGTCTGCTGTTGGGCACTGTACCCATTCTTTCCGTGCCCCTTTCGGGCGTCCAAACAGAAGGCGGCGGGGCGCCTCCGAAGCCAGCCGGCCTTCTGAGAAGTCGCCCGCGTCTCCGGAGAAGGTACGGCAGCTTCGTGCGGCGTTGGGCCGCCGGCGGCGCCGGCGGAGGAGCTCAAGGTTGAACTGTGCGGCGCGGAAGCACCAGGGGGCACGGTAAGGCCGTCGGGCCCTGAGTGGGCCCTGGAAACGACAGGGCCGTTTTTTTACTGGTTCCGTTTTGCCGTTTCTTTGCCAGTTCCGACGCCTTTTTTTACCGATTCCGTCGCGGCGCGGAAGCATCGGGGGCGGAAAAGAGGGGGGTGATGACTAGGGGGGGTGGATATCATGGCGTGGGCCATGATATCTCCCCAGATTTCATGGCGCCTCTTCTTATTTCGTTACGCCCCTGGGCCGCGCACATGCCGCCGGTCATGATTTGCACTCCCCCCTCTTGGGCACCCCCCTCTTAGCCGCTCCCGAAAGCACCAGGGGGCACGGTAACGCCGTCGGGCCCGACGAAATTTAGCCATGAGCGATTGTGGCCGCGATCGGTTCAGGGTTGAACGATCGACGCGCTGTCAGAAACCGTGGCGCGCGCCGGCGCCGCACGAACCTGCAACAGGCTTCTCGGGAGGTTGGAGGCCTCCCGAGCCTCCTGAGAAGCCACGCCCCCACTGCCTCGGGGCTCGAGCTGAACGCGCTGTGTTGGCGATTTCGTGGGCCGTTCTCGTCTTGCGCTCGTTCTGCACAGCAGGTGCGGACACAGAGACACGCAACGGAAACGGGAAGCACTGTTGAAGTCGAACCCTGCTCCGCCCTCCCCCACGACCTGATTTTCTCAGCACCTGGTCCAAAGAGGTCCCGGCCCCTTCCCTGTGGACAGCTTCTCAGCCCGATTCCGTTTCTGATGTTGGCGGTGCGCCCAGGGGGAGAGGTGACGGGGGGGGTCTTTTCAGAAGGCCCCCCGGCCGTCTGAGAAGTGTTCTGAACCTTCCCCGAAGACGCAGAAAATGTCGCAGAAGTCTGGAGGCCGTGTGAGTTGCGCCGCCGCCTGCTGAGAAGACCTTCTCCTCAGAGATCCAACGCGTCGATGTTTGTCAATGCGAGGTCCCCAGAAGTCTCGACCCACTCCCAGGGACCAGTTTTTCATCCTGAGTCGTTTTTTAACTGTCCCAGGGCTCGTCGAGGGCCTCGAGAGGCCGAAAACAGTGGAAAGTGCTTGCCTTGATTTTGTTCAGCACGTTGGGTCTCCTTCTTCTCATTTCCCCCCCCTCGCTCGCCGCCGATGATGGCCCTGTGGCCTCAGAACGGGCCCCCGATGCTGCAATCGAATGGAAAGCGCCAGGATCGCCAGTCTGCCTTCCACCCCCTGGGGTCGCCGCCAACCTCTGCGAGGACCATGGCGCCGATCCGCGAGAAGGAGGAGAGGGAGGAGGAAGAGGAAGAGAGGAGGCGGGAAGAGAAAGAGCAGGGAGGAGGGTGGAGGGAGGAAGAGGAGAGGAGGAGGAGCAGGAGGTGGAGGAGAAAGGAGGAGGAGGAGGAGGAGGGAGGAGGAGGAGGAGGAGGAGGCGGAGGAGGAGGAGGAGGAGGAAGGAGTAGGGAGGACGAGGGAGGATGAGGAAGCTCGCCGCCAAACTGTGCGAAGGCCATGGTGCAGATCCGTCAGGAGGACGAGGAGGAGGACGAGGAGGAGGACGAGGAGGAGGAGGAGGAGGAGAAGGAGGCGGAAGAGGAGGAGATGGAGATGGAGGAGGAGAGCGAGGAGGAAGGAGGGCGGAGGAGGAGGAGCGAGAAGGAGGAGGAAGGAGGGAGGAAGGAGGGCGCCGCCAGCCCGTGCGGAGGCCATGGCGCAGATCCGCGAGATGATCGAGCTGCCGCTGCGGCATCCGACGCTCTTCAAGACCCTCGGCGTGAAGCCCCCGCGCGGCGTGCTGCTCTACGGCCCGCCGGGCAGCGGGAAGGCCCCTCCCTTCCTGTCCTCTCCTTCGGCGCCTCCGCCCCTCGTCCCCGTCCTTGCCCCCCCTCCCCCTCCCCCCCCTCCCCCCCTCCTCCTAATTATTCTCCCCTCCCTCCCTCGCTCTGCCTCTATCCCTCCTCGTCTTCTCCCCGTTCCGCCTCATCGCCCCTACCTCCCACTCCCCCGATCCACCCTTTCCCCATGCTGCCTCCACCCTCCTCGTCCTCTTCATCCTGGTCGTCCTGCTTATCGCCCTCCCCTTCCTGACACTTTCACCATCACAGATTCGCTACTTCGCGTCAGCTCTTCTCCCTCCTCCTCCCTCCTGCCTCCTATCTTATCCTCCTCCTCCTCATCATCATCCTCCTCTTCTTCATCCTCCTCATCATCTTCCTCCTCCTATTTCTCCGCCTCGTTCTCCTCCTCCTCCTTAGCTCCTCCTCCTCATCATCATCATCATCATTATCATCATCATCGTCATCGTCATCCCCATCATCATCATCGTCATCAGCAGCACCACCACCACCACCGCAATCAGCATCATCACCATTTTTATCATCATCAGTAGCATCATCGTCCTCAACAGCATCATCAACATCATCACCAGCATTAGCAGCATCACCGTCACCATCACCGCCACCATCATCGTCATCAGCATCACCATCATCATCAGCATTACCATCATCATCGCCGTCACCATCGCCATCGTAGCCATCATCGTCATCATCATCATCATCATCATCAGGAGCAGCATCATCATCATTTCCAACATCCTGCTCCTCTCTCTCATCCTTCTGCTCATCCTGCTCCTTATCCTCATCCGCTTCCTCCTCACCCTTCTCAACCCTCCTCCATCATCATTCGTCCTCCCTCGTTCCTTATGCTGCCTCCTCACTTTCTCCCTCCTCCTTCCTCCGTCTTCTCCACAAGACGCTGATTGCGCGCGCCGTGGCAAACGAGACTGGCGCTTTCTTCTTCCTCATCAATGGTCCTGAGATCATGTCCAAGATGGCCGGAGAGGCGGAGGGCAACCTCCGCCGCGCGTTCGAGGAGTGGGCAGGGCAGAAATTGATTCGCAAGTCGAGACGGCTTATGAATGTGTGAGGTATGTTCGGGCCGCGCGGGCGTTTCTTTGGGGAGGGCTTGCACAACAATGTAAAACAACGTTGGGGTAATCGTTTTGCTCCTGGGTTCTTTGCCACATCCGTCATGGAACGTTCACCCGAAGGAGGCCGAGAAGAACGCGCCCGCCATCATCTTCATCGACGAGATCGACTCCATCGCCCCGAAGCGCGACAAGACCAGCGGAGAGGTCGAGAAGCGCGTGGTGTCGCAGATGCTGACGCTGATGGACGGCATGAAGGTCCTCCCCCTTCTGATTCCTCCTCCTCCTCCTCCTGGCGGTGTCTCCGGCGTCTCCCCTGGCGCGCTCCCCTGGCGCGCTCTGCGCGCCGGGGGGGGGGGGGTCCAGCGCCGATCCAAGAAATCCGCGGAGCTCCTGATGCCTTGCGTCTATGCCTTTTGCAGGGGTTGACCTAAACAGTGTTTTGGCGGTTTCGTGGGCCTTTTTCGATTCGATCCCGTTTTGCGGCAAGGGCGGATTGGAGACAAAACGAGGGAAAACGAAAACAACACGATAGCGAAAAACACTGCTTAGGTCGATTCTTGTGCTTGTGTCGCCCTGGGGCTGCTGAAGGCGAGCCGGATTCTGAAGCGCTTTTGATTGTGGGTGCGTGGCCCCTGCTCCCACAGGCATGCCCAGAGCCCTGGTCTCGCTCGGGCGTGTGCATGATGCATGTTCTCGGCGAGGACTATCGAGGGGCAGTTTGCATCATCTTGCGAAACAACTGCGCGCACAACTTCGACAAACGCACGACATCGGAAAACGCACGACATCGAAACAACACATGCGCGCACGCACGACATCTTGCACCATCTTGCGAAACAGATGCAGTCAACCCGCACCGCAAAGAGGCAACATTCCAAAGGGTGCCCTCGCATCCTTGCCGCTTCGGCCCACCCCCAGCGACTGTCGCTGGCCAAGCGCGCTCGAGAAACGCTCGCATGGGCCTCCAAGGCCCTTGCACCCGTACCGCGCATCCTGATGATACGGGTCGGTTGCACACGCGCGGCATCGAAACATGCACGGGGAATGGGAGCCCGAGCGATGGCGAGGAGCAGTGCGAGAGGCACCGGCGTAGAGGGAGAAGGGTGTCGAGCCGCCGCCGCCGCTGCCAGCAGGCCGAGCAGGGCGAGTTAGTAATCATCTCGGGCGAGCAAGGCGGGCAGGAGGAGGAGGAGGAGGACTTGGCATCGTTCGGGCGAGTGGATTTTTCTCGGCGAGGGCCATCGAGGAGCATCCTGAATCATCGTGCGGAAAAACACAAAGGCACAAAACCGAGAAAGGCACGGGGAGTGGATGTCCGAGAGATGGCGAGAGGAGGAGGAAGAGGAGGAGGAGGAGGAGGACGAGGAGGACGAGGAGGAGGAGGAGGAGGAGGAGGAGGAGGAGGAGGAGGAGGAAGAGGAGGACGAGGGGATGATGGGAGGAGGGAGGAGGGAGGAGGGAGCAGGGAGCGGGCCTTGGCGGCCCAAAGGTTGCAGCCAAACGGGCCCCCGAGATTGCCCGAGCCACTCCTGGAACGAAGGAGGGCGGGCGGGGCGGGGAAGGGCGGACAGAGGCGACGGGAGGGGCGGGCAGGGGCGGGGCGGGGCGGGGGCGGAGGCGGGGGCGGGCAGGGCGAGGGTGTCGGGGCAGAGCGCGACGGGTACCTCTTCGGAGCCTGCCCGCGGCACGGTCTGTTTCGATCCGATCGATCCCATTCGACATCGCAGGACAAGAAAATGCATGGAGAACGGACGTCCGACCGATGGCAAGTGCAGGAGGAGGAGGAGGAGCAGGAGAAGGAGGAGGAGGAGGAGGAGATAGGAGATTAGAGGTCGTAGGTCGGAGGAGGAACTGGTACCGATACCGCTGCCCTTGCTTCGTTTTTTCTTTTGGGGGGCCTCCTGGGAGGCCCTCGTCGCCACCGCTGGACTCGCCTCGGGATCCTGGTCAGAACGCGCCATGGGTCCCGGAAGTAGCGGCATCGGTATCGGTTCTTTTAGTCTCCCCAATAGTTATCGGTCTTGGCAGTTCCGGTCCGAACCGATTCCGATGTTCGGGCGATCCGATGCGTCCCGATGCGTGCATGGCGCTCTAGTTGTTCTTGGGACAGCCGGCCCGATTTGATCCCGACTCCTGCTGCGGCCCGATCCGACGGACAGTCCGATCCGGCCCGGCTTCCCGATTCCACCCTGACTGAATCTGCACAGTGTGCCGCCCTCCTTGGGGGAAGGGGGAGGAGGATGAGGAGGAGGGGGAGGCGGAGAAGGAGGAGGAGGAGGAGGAGGAGGAGGAGGAGGAGGAGGAGGGAGGAGGGAGGAGGAGGAGGAGAAGGAGGAGGAGGAGGAGGAGGAGGAGGGAGGAGGGGAGGAGGAGGAGGAGGAGGAGGAGGAGGAGGAGGAGGAGGAGGAGGAGGAGGAGGAGGAGGAGGAGGAGGAGGAGGAGGAGTAGGAGGAGGAGAGGAGGAGGAGGAGGAGGAGGAGGAGGAGGAGGAGGAGTGAGGAGGAGGAGGAGGAGGGGAGGAGGAGGAGGAGGAGGAGGAGGAGGAGGAGGAGGAGGAGGAGGGTGCGCACTCCCCCCTCCCCACGCGAAGGGCCGCAGCCAGACGGTTGTCATCGCCGCCACCAACAGGCCCAACACCATCGACCAGGCCCTGCGCCGCTTCGGCCGCTTCGACCGCGAGCTGGACATCGGGGTGCCGGACGACAACGGCCGCCTCGAGAGCCGAGGGGCTCTCTGCCCGTCCGCCGCGGGGCTCCCCCCTGCTGGAGGTTTCCCGGCGGTCTCGCGGGCTGTCGGCGGCGCTTCGGCCTCGGGGTGCTTCTCAGCAGCTGCGCCTCGCCGAGAGCGCTCACGGGTCCGGACCTTCCCGAGCGGCCGCCAGAGGCCCGAGCTGCGATTCGAAAGCCAGCCGGGGAGGGGGGGTCAGGGGGAGCGATAGGGTTGAGTCGGGCGTGTCCTTCTACAGGAGGAGTATTCAAAAATGGTCAAACCATAGTCTGGGGACGATTTGTTTGTTATACTTCTTTTTGGGTGTTTATATATATATATATATATATACAAATGTGTTCTCATACGCACCTCTCCGAGGGAGTAGAGCTCAGAGGGGATTAACGCGTCCGTGCGTCCGTGCGTGCGTGCGTCTTCGATTTTCCCGGCCGTTTCGCTAGGGACATCCTCAAAATTCTGAAAATCGGTGGCACCCCTCACGCAGATCGTGAAGGAGAGGTCCAAAAACACATAGGATTTTCAACATTTTAACATAAAACCATCAAAAACACATGGTAATTTCAATATTTTGACCCCGATTTTCAGAGACTGGCGGTTTCGCCTGAGACATCCTCCCAAAATCGAGCCCCAGACCCCTCCTCGGAGCCTCCTGGGGGCCTCCTGGAACCTCCTGGGGCCTCCTGGGGCTTTCTGGACCTTCTGGTACCCCAGACCCTGTCTCGGAGCCTCCTGGAGTTCTCCTGGGCCTGCTGAGGCCGCCTGGGGCCTCCTGGGGCCTCCTGGGGCTTCAGAACTACATGCACACACAGAGACACAAATCACGCCCAACACATCACACGCTAGACAAACATAACATACACACACAACACCGACAACACACAAAAAGCACGCACCACACAAAGCACACATCACACACACAACACTCACAATCCTGGGGCCTTCTGGAGCCTCTTCAGGTATCCAAGTCGGGCCTCCTGAGGCTTCCTGGGGGGCCCTGATACACACATCGCAAGGTGTGGCAACCCCACTTGCGCTCGAGTGCGACTTCGCTGTTGCATGTCACTCCTGCTTCAAACGCCCCTCCAGCTTGTTGTATGAGCCTGGGCACACACGTGCCACTTGTATATATGGTTTTTCTTCCAAGATCCCCTTGTAGGGGACATGCCCGACCTAACGATAGGTTAAATTCAGAGGAGGGCGAGCCGAGACACTGGACTCTGGGTGGGGCGCCCGCGTCGCCGCGGCTGGACGCAGCTCGGAAAGCTGGTGTGTGTTGGGCCCCGGGAGGAGTTCGGGGATCGATGTTGAGCGGCGGCTGCCTCAACTCTTGGAGACGACGATCAGTGGAGAGGAAGCGTGCTGCCGAACGATCCCCAGATGTCCAGAGCATGTTTCCAGCATGCCTCAAACATGTAATCAAATCATGCTGTGCACTTTCTAGAGCATGCTGAAAACATGTGGAATCCATGCCTTATTCCATGGCGGGGCTGCCTCTGGACAGCTCCTCCGACAGCGCGGCTGGCCAGCAGCTCGGGGAGGCGCCCTCGCTCCGCCCTGGGAGCGTGGGGCCGCTGCCCCGGCCGAGGGCCCGGGAGTGGTCCCCGGCCTCGCGCGGTGCCCTTCGGAGCAGGCAGGAGGCGGGCGAGTGCGAGGGAGGCGGCAGGTCGAGCGAGGCGGCAAGAAGAGGGAAGGACAGCGGAGGACCAGGGGGTCGTTCGCACACATTCGCACACACACACACACACATAACCGACCGCGGGCGATAGTAAAGAACCCCCCCCTTTAACCCCCTCTATTTTTTGTATCTCCGACCACAGGTATCCATCTGTGGGGAAGGCGCGGGGTCCGAACTTTCTAATCCACGGGAAAGTTGCGGGGATCGAAGTTGCTGTCATATCATGTTGATCGCACACCTTTTTGTTGATCGTTGCAGGGCTGGGCCCGGCCGCGAGCCTCTCGGCGGCAGCCCGCTGCCCCCGCGTCCCCAAACCAGCAACTGCCCGGCACGTTTCTCGATTGGGATTTCCCCCGAACTTGAAGTGAAAATTGAGGTTGCCAGGGTCGCGGGCGACGCTCGTCGTCATCGTCGTCGTCGTCCTCCTCGTCCTCGTCCTCGTCCACGTGTCGTCATCGTCGTCCTCGTTGTCGTCCCCGGCGTCCTCGTCATCCTCGTCGTCGTCCTCGTCGTCGTCCTCGTCCTCGGCCTCGTCGTCCTCGCTGTCGTCCCCGTCGTTCTTGTCGTCGTCGTCCTCGTCGTCGTCCTCGTCGTCGTCCTCGTCGTCCTCGTCATCTTCGTCGTTGTCGTCCTCGTCGTCCTCGTCGCCCTCGCTGTCGTCCCTGTCGTCCTCGTCATCCTCGCCGTCGTCCTCGTTGTTGTCGTCCCCGTCGTCCTCGTCATTCTCCTCGTCGACGTCGTCGTCGTCCTCGACCTCGTCTTCACGATCTCTCCCTCCAAGAGCTGCCCGCGGGCCCGCCGACGTGTCTGGACGATGCGCTGCGTGCAGCCCCCTGGAAGCCCCCCCTTCAATTGTCGCCCTTGTTGTTGACTCGGGCAAGTCCCTCTACAGGAGGACGATTCAAAATTGGCCAAACATACTTTGGTGACGTTTTTTGTTTCTGGCCTATTTGGGGGATTTGTTGGTAATGTTAAAATTCGTTTTTCCAAAATCCGCCTTCAGCAGGACGTGCACGACCTCACCTGGTTGTTGCCCGAAAGGTCTGCCCGAATCGCAGGTCGTCCGAAGGCGAGCCGGCTCTCACCAGAGAGCCCGACGGTTCGGGCTGAGACTTCGGGCAGGGATCCGAGCAGCACTTCGGGCACCAGTTCGGGCGGCACTTCGTGTGTGTGTGTGTGAAGACCGCCCATCTCCCCATTCTACCCATCTTTCCTGCTATCCTCTCGGCTCAGGTACTGGCCAGCTTGAGCGCCCTCTGTCCGACGGGCGCGAGGATAAAAGACTCTCATCTTTCTCCTTCTCGTCCTCTACCTACGCACCAGTTCGAGCGCCACTTCGGGCGCGTTCGGGCGCCATCCCATCGGGGCCCCTGCAATCCGCAATCCCGTCTTGGTCGTCGTCGTCGTCGTCGTCCTCGCCGCCGGGTCGTCGTCGCCGTCGCGGCCCCCGCCGTCGCCGCCGTCGTCATCGTCCTCGTCGCCGTCGCCGTCGTCCTCGTCCCCGCACTCGTCCTGGGGGGTTCGCCGTCGCAGTCGTCACATTCGTCGTTGTTGTCTGTGCCATCCAGGTGGGCGTCGGTGCCGTGCTCCACGGACGCTGCTGGCCCGTTGCGCGCGGCATTTGGCGGACGTTGAGGCAGCATTCGGCAGGAGTTTGGGGCAACAATCGGAGGGACTTCGGGGCAGGGTCGGTCTGACGTCCCTGATGGGAGAGTGATGCGCTGTGGGAACAGGAAAGCAGCAGCAGCGTTCGGAACTCGCACGATGCAGCAACGGCCGGCCGAAGCTGGCCAGAATTGGAACGACACACACACACTCTCACGTACGAACTATGGTGGGGGCGTTGGTTAAGGAATGTGCCTACGAGGCTTCCGACCCTGGAGGAGTCTGGAATCCATGGCCGAGCCGCGATCGAAGTCCCACGCTGGGTTTCTTGTCTCTGGAGGGGAACAAACAGACACAATGACTCGTCGATCCCCCGGAAAATATTGAAGAAATATGGGAAGTGGAAGGGAAGACGAAAATACATAACATATTTGGAAATATGTGGAATCCTGCGATTTGCGTCTATGTTACCATGTGTGTATGTCTCAGTGCCCTTTTATCAATGCTTCCTTCTCTAATGCCCCAACCGTGTCTCAGAGAGCTGGGTCGTCGAGGCCAGGTGGCCCCGCAGGGGGGGCGGCGGATCCTGCGCATCCACTGCAAGAACATGAAGCTGGCCCCCGACGTGAAGCTCGAGGACGTCGCCTCCAACACACACGGCTTCGTCGGCGCGGACCTCGCGCAGCTGTGCACGGAGTCGGCCCTGCAGTGCATCCGCGAGAAGATGGACCTCATCGACCTCGACGAGGAGACGATCGACGCGGAGATCCTGGACTCCATCCGAAGAACAGAAAACGGCATAAACAGAAATGTTTGCCGCTCCGCGCGGACTTCTTGGATCCGCGCTGGGGGGCCCCTGGCGGCGCCCCCGGCGCCGCCCCTAGCGCGCTCCGCGCCCCAGGGAGGGGGGGGCCAGCGCAGGCTCAAGAAATCCGCGCGGACCGTCGAAAGTTTCTATGCATGCTGTTATTTCTTCTTCTGCCCATGGCGGTCACGCAGGAGCACTTCAAGATTGCGATGGGGGCGTGCAACCCGTCCTCCCTGCGCGAGACCGTGGTGGAGGTGCCCAACATCAAGTGGGACGACATCGGCGGCCTCGAGGACACCAAGCGGGCGCTGCAGGAGACGATCCTGTACCCGATCGACCACCCCGAGAAGTTCGAGAAGTTCGGCATGACGCCCTCCCGCGGCGTGCTGTTCTACGGCCCGCCAGGGTGCGGCAAGACGCTCCTCGCGAAGGCGGTGGCGAGCGAGTGCTCCGCCAACTTCGTGAGCATCAAGGGCCCAGAGCTGCTCACCATGTGGTTCTCGAAGAAGCGTCGGCATCAGCATGCAGGCTGTCGGAGGTCCGCGCGGGTCTCTTGGCTCGGCGCTGGAGCCCTCGAAGCGCGCCGGGGGCGGCACGCGCAGCGTTGCCAGGGGGGGGTCCAGCGCCGACCCCAGAAGTCCGCGCGGACCGCTTACGGCCATGGCACTGAAGTACGGGACACTCTAGTTTCGGAAGGGGCTCACTGCTCCTCAGGTGTAAGTCAGGCGATCCCTCTACAGGAGGCATCTTCAGACATAGTTGTAAACCACAGTCTGGGGACGATCTGTCCAGTATGGTTTGATCATGTTTGAGAATTTTGTGAGTGTTCTTATTTAATCGCTTCGCTCATGCCTCCGGCCCTGGAGCCCTCTTTAGGGCCTCTTATTGGGGGCCTCTTGGGGACCTCTTGGGAGTCTCTTGGGGCTCCTTGGCGGCGTTTTGGGGGCCCCCAGGGCCTCTTGGGGGGCTCTTGGTGGCCTCTTGGGGCGGGAGGGGGGGTAGTCGATTGCGGCTCCCCCCTCGGAGGCCACGATCCTCGTGAGGGGTGTCGAAAAATGGCCCTCCCCTGGAGTGCTCTGGTGGCTTCTCCCGGGACCTTGTCGGGGTACTTTTCGTCCGGGGGCCCCCAGGGGCCGCTCCGCGCGCGCGAACTAGAACTATTGTTGACCAGTTACCGGAGATCGTAGCACGCCTCTGGCCCGTTGGGCCGGCGAATTGTTTCCGTCCAAAATCTTCGGACATAGTTTTGAACCATAGTCTGGGGACGATTTGTCCAGTATGGTTTGATCATGTTTGGGCATTTTGTGCATGTTTTCATGCGTTCGTCCAAAATCCACCGACCTAGCCTTAGATTCGTAGTTCTTCCTCCGACGCCCCTCGCGGACCCCTAGGGGCCACGCAGGGGCATCGTTCTCTGTCCTGCGGCCCTGTGGCAGCAGCTTGGCTGTATGCTGGCGCTGGCCACAAGCTTCGGCCGATTCGACGCGGACTGAAACGCTGCGGTCGGACGCGCGCATCTTTTTCGGCGGGGACCCTCGAGGAGCACCCTGGATCATCGATTGAGTGGGTCCCCGGAGATCCTCCGCGCTGAAGAAATCCGGACGAAGGTGTTCACAGTCTTCGGCCTCTAGGGGCCCTCGCCAGGCTCTGGGACCTCTCAAAAAAAGGATTCGGGATGCAAAGCGGGTCTTGGGGAATGGGTCGAGGTTTCCGGGGTCCCCGTATTGAAAAAAAACACGACGTCGGATCTCTGGGCCTGGGGGTCAGGCCGCGGTCTGCAGAACACCCCGAACGGACGTCAAAGGGGGGCAACCAACCTGTTCGGTCCAGCTGAAATTGATGCACCACGTCTGGCGTCAGACCAAAACTTTGGACAGAAGCGAGCGGTTGGATGCTGTACATCTTTGTCTGCTTGACCGGCGAGGCGTTTGACCACCTTGACGTCCCTTTTTTGGGTGGCCTTGCAGAGGAAGCGGCTCTCTGACCCTCGGCCCGATCGAGCCCAAAAAGCACGCACGAGGCCGAAAAACGCACGGGGAATGGACGTCCGAGCGATGGCGAGACTCCGCCGATTCGTGCTGCTGCATCATTGTTGCTACCTGTTTGTGTGCTCGTGGCAAGCGAGGAGGAGGAAGAGGAGGAGGAGGAGGAGGAGGAGGAGGGGGAGGAGGCGCAGGAGGGGGTCATGCCGTTGGAGTGTTTGTGTCGTTCCAGGTGTCGGCGTGAAGAAGAAAGGACTCTTCGGGACGATGGCGAGTTGAAGAAAAGCCCACGTCGAGGAGTGATGTCCTTGCGCATGTCTGTGCCGCTTGTTTCTCTCCTTCCAGACTCGTCGAGTCCGAGGCTGATGTAAGAACGTTGCAGTTCGGGTAAGTCGGGCGTGTCCCTCCACAGGAGGAACATTCAATAATAGTAGGCACATAGTATGTGGGCGATGTATCATGCGCTTTCGACTATGTTTGATTGCTGTTTGACTACTTTTAGCTCTCTTCCAAAATGTGCCCGTGGAAGGACTTGCCCGACCGAACAGTTCGGGTTTGGAAGGGGCTCGCTGTTCCTTGAGTCCTTCTGTGGTTGTTCTCCTCCTCCTCCTCCTCTTCCTCCTCCTTGTCTCCTCCTCCTCTTCCGCCTCCTCCTCCTCCTCCTTCTCCTCCTCCTCCACCTCCTCCGCCTCCTCCGCCTCCTCCTCCTCCTCCTCCTCCTCGCAAACAGCTTCGCTCCTGACGGTCGGGAACTTTGGCTCAGCGCGTCGCTCCGCCGGCTCTGGCAAACCGGGCTTCGGCGCGACGGCCCTCCCCCAGCGTCAGCGTCCCGAGGTTTGTCGAGCCCTCCGCCCGGCGGAGCGGAGCGCCATGCTATGCGCGTGCATGGCACGGCTTGTCGCCGGGGCCGCCGCCGCGACACGCAGCAGCTCGATCGCATGTCCATGCCGCTTTTTGTTGCCGAGATCGGACGTTGCCAACAAAATACAGCATCGCACGGCATTCACGACCCGAGCCACAGACCCCGTCTCTTTGCTGCAGTCTTTGAGCCGGATCGACCTTTATGACAGCCCTGGGGCCCGAAATCGGGTGAAGGCGCCCTGGGCGAAAAAGTTGCAGCGCCCTGACTCAGGGCATTCGGTGTTCTTCATCGCATCAACTTGGCCGCATGCCTGTGCCACGATTTGGGGAGTTCCAAAAACGGCCTTGCCTTCAAGGATTGAAGGAGCTGTCATTTCTTCCGCCGCGGAAGGCGGTGGAAGGCCGGCGGAAGTAACACGAGGCCGCCTCCGCCGGCGGACGCCGGCGGAATGGCGGCGGAAGGCGGCGGACGTAAAAGATGCGTCCCCAAGAGACGAAAGCGTTTTGGGGTTCAGGGGTTCCGCAATCGCCCACTCGCGGCCCCAGGTTCGGCGAGTCCGAGGCCAACGTCCGCGAGGTCTTCGACAAGGCCCGCGCGGCGGCGCCCTGCGTGCTCTTCTTCGACGAGCTGGACTCCATCGGCACGGCGCGCGGCAGCGGCGGCGGCGACGCTGGGGGCGCCGGGGACCGCGTGATGAACCAGCTGCTGACCGAGATCGACGGCGCCTCGGGAAGCCAAGACTCGGCGGCGCCCCCCCGGGGGGGGGGGGAGGGAGAGGATCGGGCCGCACGAAAGGGCCTCCTCCTCCTCCTTATCCTCCTCCTCCTCCACCCTCCTCCTCCTCCACCCTCCTCCTCCTCCTCCTCCGCCTCCTCCTCCTCCTCATCATCATCCCTCCTCCCTCGAGGATCGGGCCGCACGAAAGGGCCTCCTCCTCCTCCTCCTTTATCCTCCTCCTCCTCCACCCTCCTCCTCCTCCACCCTCCTCCTCCTCCTCCTCCGCCTCCTCCTCCTCCTCATCATCATCCCTCCTCCCTCCTCCTCCTCCTCCTCCTTCTCCTCCTCCTCCGTCCCCCTCCCTCTTCCTCCTCATCCCTCCCTCCTCTTCCCTCCTCCTCCCTCCTCCTCCCTCCTCCCTCCTCCCTCCTCGTCCCTCCTCCTAGGGAAATGGGAGGATTGCGAGATCTGCCGCATGCAGCTGGTTTTCGCCCCGCCGCCGGGCCCATTCCTCGATGCAGGGGCGCCGCCCCGCGCCGGGAGGCTACTCTACCCTTTTGCTCTCTTAGCCTTAAGTCGGGCGTGTCCTTCTACAGGAGGAGTATTCAAAAATAGTAGAACATCGTCTGGGGACGTTTTTTTTTCAGCATTTTGGGATTATGTTTAAGCATGTGTTGGTTATGATTTGCTTCCCCTCCAAAATCCGCCTGTAGGGGGACATGCCCGACCTAATCTTAGCCTCTCGTCCCCCCCCGACCCCGGGAGGAGGCAGGCCTTCGCCTTCGGAAAAGCTGTTGCTGCCTCTCCAGGGAATGGCCTCAGAAGGCTGCTCGCGGGAGGCCCGAGGCCTTCCGATCCTTCTGAGCAGGCCCGCCCCCTTCTCTGACGCCCCCTCCGGGCTGGCCGCCGAATTTTGCCGGAGCCTCGGATCTGCGGGGGGGGTAGATGCTTCATGCCCCGAGGGGGCGTATTGGGCTGGACGACGACGACGACGACGACAAGCCGACATGCCCGCGTCGAACGTGAGCTGCTGTCGCCCTCTCCGGGGCCTGTCCAGGGAGCTCCCCGCCGCCGCGGCCTCCGCCTCGAGGTTCTGGCCAGGGCGCTTCCCGGCAAAGGTCTGGGGGCCGATGCTTAGCACCCTCGGGAGAGGCTAAGTCCATCACCGAGCGAGTTCCACTACTCGCGAAGTGCCTACTCGCAAATGTTCGAAGAACACATGTTCGCCTTGATGTAATGGATCGTAGATCCCCGCGGCGTACCCAGGCCAGTTACGAGCAAGTACTTTGCGAGTAGTGGAACGCGCTTGTCTAGTCCATGCGGAATAAATCCACATGGAGTTCTCGGTCTCCGTCTGCCGTAGGCTTCCTCTGTCTTGGCCCAGCCTCTCCCGACACTTCCCAGACGTGGTAGCGTCGTGGCAACGATCACGACGGGAGGTTTTTTCCAGGTTTCGGCCTCCAGAGGCCTTCGCGGGGCCCAGGGACCTTCGCAAACCGACTCGGGATGAAAAGCCGGCCCTGGGGAAAGGGTTGGGGCTTCCAGTGAGCCCGTATTGAGAGAATCACGGCTCCGCATTTCCCGGTGCTCAGAGGAGGAGCAGGCACCGATGACGCCGCTTGTCCTGGAGAGCCCTCGTCGCCACGGCCGGACTCGCCTCGAGTCGAAGTCCTAGTCAGGGCACAGTGTGGGAGGGGTCCGTGGATCACCGAGCGCGGCCCACGACTCGCAGAGTGCCTACCCGCAAGCGTCCGAACCATAGCTGTTCACCTCGACGTAACATGCCGCAAATCCCCCGCGGCGGGTCCAGGCCATCAGCGAGCAGTTGCCCTTGCGAGTGGTGGAGTGCGCTTGTCGTGTGGCGTGGCGGCAGCGTCGGCCACGCGCGAGGGCGGGGCCCTTCGCTGGAGTGCCGCCTGGTGCGGGGCAGTACGCTGGGGGCTCGGCCCGCGGCGTGCACCCCTGCGGCCGCGCCCCAGGGGTCACGCTTGCGCAGGGCCACACTCTGCCCGCACGGACAACCCGTAGAATCCAAGTCGGGCCTGTGCTTCCACAGGAGGAGTACGCAAGAATAGCCACAGAGTGATGTGGGGACTGCGTTTCTGTATTCTCCAAATAGGCTTGCCCTAGAGGAGTCCTAGCTCATCATAAGTAATTGGTCTTTGGCGCCCTCCCCCCTTTTCCAATGGCCCCCCCCCTTTTTCCAATGGCGTTTGCTCGCTTGCTCTTGCATGCTTGCTCTTGCATGCTTGCTCTCGCTTGCTTGCTCCTGCGTGCCCTTGCTTGCCTGCACTTGATCGCTGGCTCTTGCTTGCTTGTTGTTGCTCGCTTGCGCTTGCTGGCTTCCGCCTGTTTGCCTGCGCTTGCTTGATTTTGCTCCTCCCATTCTCCTCCCGTCCTCCGTTCGTCATCCTCCCATCCTCCTCTCGCCCTCCTCCTCTCCTCCTATCTATTTGGAGTCAACGCTGGCTGATATGTTTTGACTGTTTTTAACATGTTTGACTATTTAAACATTTTCCTCGAACATCCCCCTGTAGGGGGACACGCCCGACTTAACCGTATAATTAGGGTGCGCGATAAGGATGCAAGGGCCCTGGAAGGCCATGTCGACACTCTGCGAGCGGGGCGCGCGGCCAGCGAAAGCGGCCAAGGATGGGCTGAAGGGGAAGGGCGCAGGGGTCATGTGGGAAAGTCGCTCATCTTTCCTATGCGGGTTGACTGTAGGGTCACTCTTGCGTGTAGCCGACATCGGCAGACGTTCTTTCCCCAGGCGGGGGCGCAGGAACCTTCGGAGGCCGCCGCGAGAAACCTCTTCTCGCTCCAGCGCTCCCCCACCCCCGACCCCACGGCCCCTGCCCTGGCTCGGCGGCGAGCGAGGGGGCGAAGTGAGAAGGAGAAGGCCTTCTGAGAGGTGTCCGAAGCCTCCCTCGAAGACAGGAACAGCTTTCTCAAAGAAGCCGCGAGAGAGCTTCTGAGAAGTCCCGCCGCCTTCTGAGAATCAAAGGCGTAAGAAACGCCCCTACCCTGCTTTACGAGGCGCTGTGTGCTGAGCCCTCTATTGGCTGACAGGGTAAACCCTGCGCATCGCGCGTGTCGCGTGGCGTCCTGGCGGCCCTCTGGCCCTTGGGAGCTCCCAGGAGGCTTGCAGACCACGCACGTGTAACCCAGGGTAGGGGCGTTTTTTATCCCTCGAGTGAGGGAGGGGGGAGTGAGAAGGAGAAGGCTTTCTGAGAGGGAGCGTCGAAAACAGAAACAGCTTTCTCAAAGAAGGCGCGAGAGCTTCTGAGAAGTCCCGCCGCCTTCTGAGAAGGCCTTCTCCTCCTCGTCCCCCCCCTCAAGAGAATGCCTTCTCCTCCTCGTTTCCCCCCTCGTCTCCTCTGGCGTTTTTTTATCCCTCAAGAGAAGGCCTTCTCCTCCTCGTCCCCCCCCCCTCGCTCGCCGCCGACCGGCGCGCGCCCGGGAAGTGCGCCCAGGGCGGCGCCGCGCGGGGCGAGGAGACAGAGGGGGCCCAGGTGAGCGCTTCTGTCACTCCTTGTTCTGCCGATCGGCGCGGGCCTCCTCCTCCTCCTCCTCCTTCCTCCTCCTCCTCCTCCTCCTCCCTCTCCTCCTCCTCCTGCCTTCTCCTCCTCCCCTCTTCCTCCTCTCCTCCTATCGCACCCACCCCTTTCCCCCCCCCCCCCCCCGTGGGGTAGATCTTGGCTGCTTTGGGCGCCTCTGTCGAGCGGGTGGAGTCTCCCCCATCGTGGGCGCACTGTTCCATCACAGCCGCACTGAAGCAGAGGTCTGGAGCCAGACCCCCCACCCCTTCCCCTTGCCGCCCAATGTCGACACGCCGAATAAAAAAAGCGCTCACCGGCGCCGACCCGAGAAATCTGCGCAGACCTCCGCGGGTGGCTGCGGCTCTGGCTGGCTTCTGGCATTCCATCACGTCGCCCACTCCTTGTTTTTTTCGGCAGGGACCATCGAGGAGCATGCTGTAAATATTGCGAGAAAAACACATACACGAAACCGCAAAAATACAGGGAATGGACGTCTGAGCGATGGCGAGACTCCGCCGATTCAGGCTGCTTCATTATTGCTACCTGTTCGTGTGCTCGTGGCGAGGGAGGAGGAGGAGGAGGAGGAGGAGGAGGAGGAGGAGGAGGAGCAGGAGGAGCAGGAGGAGGAGGGGGAGGAGGACCAAGCTAGGTGCGCTCGCGTCATATCTGACGTTCTACTCCCTCCCAGCCCTTACCATGGCGTAGATCTCTTCTCTATTCGCACAAGTGGATGTCGTAGCATGGCATAGCATTACATGGCATAGCATGGTGTTGAAGATCAACGCGTAGCATGGCATAGCATAGCGTGGCGACTCCCCAAAATGGGCGGGCTTCTGCGACCCCAAAAATAAACGAATCGCCACCAAATGTACAATCACTTCCGATGGTTTGTTCGGGATGTCATGTTCTAGATGTTGGGGCCCGTTTGGGAGGACCGAAAGAAACCATGCCGTGGCATGGCACTGGAAATTATGACGCCAGCGCTGCAGCGGGAGCACGATTCGGAACGAGCGGAGGCGCGGAAATGAGGCCAGCGCAGCAGCGGGAACACGATTCGGAGGACGCGGAGCTTGCCATAGCATTGCGTGGCGACGCCCCAAATTTGGGGGGGGGGCTTCTGCGATCCAAAAAATCAACGAATCGGCACCGAATGTATAATCACTTCCGATGGTTTTTTCGGGGGACCATTTTCTAGATTTTGGAGCTTCTTTAGTAGAAAGGACCGAAAACCATGCCGTGGCATGGCTCTGGAAACAACGACGCCAGCGCTGCAGCGGGAGCACGATTCGGAACGAGCGGAAGCGCGCAAATGAGGCCAGCGTTGCAGCGGGAGCACGATTCGGAACGAGCGGAAACGCGAAAATGAAGTCAGCGCCTTAGCGAGAGCAGCATTCTGGAAAAACACACAAGAGAATGCCCGTTTCTGGGAAATCCTGTGTTGAAAAAACAAGTACGCGAAGGGTGGCCGACTATTTCCCGGACGTCACCAGGGGAGAGAGGCGAGTAGGATTCATGTTGTGTAATTGTGGAGGGGTAGGGGAGGAGGAGCAGGAGGGGGTCATGACATGCCGTCGGATTGTTTGTATCGCTCCAGGTGTCGGCGTGAAGAAGAACGTCTTCTTCATCGGCGCCACGAACAGGCCCGAGCTGTTGGACGAGGCGCTGCTCCGCCCCGGGCGCTTGGACCAGCTGATCTACATCCCGCTGCCAGATCTGCCCGCGCGCCAGAACATCCTCGAGGCCACCCTCTCCTCCTCCTCCTCCTCCTGCTCCTCCTCCTCCTCCTGCTCCTCCTCCTTCTCCTCCACCGTCCCCCCTTCCGTCGGAGCAGGAGTCGAAAAAGAACGTACCCCATCAAAGCAACCCGCTTATTAGCAGGACACACGAAGATCAGCCATGCGCAGAAGTGGATATTAGGGGGAGGGGGGGAGGAAGGCTTCCTGGAAGCCCCCTCTGCTTCTTAGACGGCGCGGACCTTGTCTAGAGATGCAATGCCGGCGCCTTCTAGTACAGTCGGGCCGCTAAAGAAGAACCCTTTTCGTTGGGGCGGGGCTCCGTGTTCCTTAATTGTTGCGCAGTTGTTCTTAGGCGTTCCTTAGGTTTCCCATGGTAAGGCGAAGTGCACCGTATGGAAAAAGGGGGCCTCGCTCCTCATTGATTGGGCTCCTCAGAACAGGGTGTCGACTGTGAGCAGCATCCTTCTGCGAAGCCTTCCCTCGTAGACGCGCTAATGGTGTGTTAGCTAACGGCGATGTAGGAAAACCAATTGTAGGAAAGCGCGGCTCGTGGCCAAACCACTTGTAGGAACGCGTGGCTCGCGTTTTCCTACAACTCGCTGCGTCGTTCTCGCTCGAGACGTTCGCACATTTGAGAGGTAGGGAACGGCGTCTCGTGATTTCCTACGCGTTGTTCTTCGTGAGCTCGGTGCCACGAAACTCAGACTCCCCAGCCGCACTGGTAGCTCAGCGCGCCGTTAGCGCGGCCTCGGCTCCCCCCCGCATCGCCCCCCCCCCTTGGTGCGCGCCGCCGAGGCGGAGGCGGGTCGAGGGGCAGGATGGTCGGCGACAGGGGGGCCCGTCAGGTCAGAGCCCGGCCGCGTGGCACCTCGGTGTGCCGCTGGGCCGAGGTATGGAGGAGGTAAGACTGCACCAGAGAGAGGCCCCCATCAGTGGACGGTCTGACATGGGATCGATAAGGAGATCGATGGCGAGGTCGACCGGGAATCCGGGGACCCGGAACCCACGGAAACCGGCCCGGAAGCAATAACCAGGAACCCGGGAACCCAGAACCGGGAACCCGGGAACCCAGCTGGACACCAAAAATCGGCGGGACATGCTCGCCGCGAGGACCCCTTCAGTGCAAGTACTGATTGGGGAATAAGAAAAACATGGCAAACAAACAAAACAAAACTGAAGTTATGAGATTGAGATCGTATCCTCGTGATCTTGGTGCCTTTGGATGCTCTTGCGCACCCAGGGGAGGCGAGGTCAGTTCGGGGAGGTTAGCACTATCCTTGTGTTCGTCGTGCTTTCGGATGCTCTTGCGCACCCTGGGGAGGATGCCCTGAGCTGCGCTGTGTGTTCTGGCTGGCAGAGGGTCTCATGTTCTTGAGGGTGTTCTTCTGGCCTGGGGACGCATGTATTTTGTGCCAGGGATCGTGGCCGTTTGGACCAAACATGTAGCCGACAGGTGGGGAAGGACCACGAGTCCTACATACAGTCGGGCCGAAATATAAGATCGAGGTCGGTTCGGGGAGGGCACCCTGGTGATCTTCGTGCCTGTTGGATGCTCTTGCGCACCCTGGGGGGGATGCCCCGGGCTGAGCTGTGTGTTTTGGCCTGCGGAGGGTCTTGTGTTCTTGAAGCATATTATTCTGGCCTAGGTCCGACCATATTTTGTGCCAGGGATCGTGGCCGACTGGATCAAAAGTGTAGCCGGCAGTTGGGGCGGGAGCACGAGTCCTGCATACAGTCGGACCGAGGTATAAGATCGAGGACGGTTCGGGGAGGCACCTTAGTGTTCTTCGTGTTTGTTGGGTGTTCTTGCGTATCCTGGGGAGGATACCCTTGGCTGTGCTGCGTGTTTTGGCCGGCGGAGGGTCTCATGTTCTTGAGGGATGTTCTTCTGGCCTGGGAACGCATGTATTTTGTGCCAGGGATCGTGGCCGTCTGGACCAAAAATGTAGCCGGCATTCGGGGCCGGAGCACGATTCCTGCAGTTTGTCGCACTGAGTAAAAGATCGAGGACGGTTCGGGGAGGGTGCCCTATTGTTTGTCGTGTCCTTTGGATGCTCTTGCGCACCCAGGGAAGAGTACCCTTGGCTGTGCGGTGTGTTTGGGCCAGCGGAGGGACTCACGTTCTTGGGATGTTTTTTTGGTCTAGGCCCCACTGTAATTTGTGCCAGGGATCGTGGCCGTCTGGACCAAACATGTCGCCGGCACTTGGGGAGGGAGCACGAGTCCTGCATATTGCCGGACCGAGGTATAAGATCGAGGACGGATCGGGGAGGATACCTTGGTGTTCTTCACACTTGTTGGGTGCTCTTGCCCATCCTGGGGAGGTTGCCCTTGGATGTTCTCTGTGTTTTCGCTGCGGAGGGTCTCGTGTTCTTGAAGTATGCTCTTCTGGCCTAGGTCCGACGATAATTTATGCCAGGGATCGTGGCCGTCTGGACTAAACATGTAACCAGCATTTGGGGCGGGACCACGAGTCCTGCATACAGTTGGATCGAGGTGTAAGATCGCGGACGGTTCGGGGAGGGTACCCTAGTGTTCTTCGTGCTTGTTGGGTGTTCGTGCCCATCATGGGGAGAACGCCCTTGGATGTTCTCTATGTGTTTTGGCCGGCGGAGGGTCTCCTTTTCTGGAGGGATGTTCTTCTGGCCTAGGTCCGACGGTAAATTTGTGCCAAGGATCGTGGCAGTCTGGACATAAATTGTAGCCAGCATTTGGGGCGGGAGCACGAATCCTGCATACTGTCGCACCGAGGTATAAGATCTAGGACGGTTCGGGGAGGGTGCCCTAGTGTTCTTCGTGCTTGTTGGGTGTTCTTGCCCATCCTGAGGAGGACGCCCTTGGACGTTCTCTGTGTGTTTGGACCGGCGGAGGGTCTCCTGATCTGGAGTGATGTTTTTTTTGGTCTAGTCCCGACGGTAATTTGTGCCAGGGATCGTGGCCGTCTGGACTTTTTGGGCGGGAGCTCGGGTCCAGCATACAGTCGGACCGAGGTATAAGGTCGAGGACGGTTCGGGGAGGGTGCCTTGGTGTTCTTCGTGCTTGTTGGGCGTTCTTGCCCATCCTGGGGAGGATGCCCTTGGGTGTTCTCTGTGTATTTTGGCTGGCGGAGGGTCTCATTTCTGGAGGGATGTTTGTTTGGCCCAGGTCCGACGGTAATTTGTGCCAGGGATCGTGGCCGTTTGGAGCAAACATGTCGCCGGCATTTGGCGCGGGAGCACGATTCCCGCATACATTGCGAGCAAGGCTCAGGCAAAACGGCCGCTGGACCCGCTGCCAGACCAGGCGGTGTCTACGGCTCCCCGTCACCCTTGTGGGGCTCTTCTGTGCTTCTGTTTAGAAGCCTCTAGCAAACCGCTATTACAGTGGGGGCGCACACGGAGAAACCATCTGCTATTCGTCAGCGTATCCTTGGTTTCTTCGCTCCGCGCGCTGCGTGGTGACTTCCAGCATCCGTTGAAGAAACTGCTGCGTTCAGGGTGCTCTGGGTTTCCCCTCAGGTGCACCTCGCGCGCACGTTTTCGGGGTCGGGTTTCTTGCGAGGGTGTCTTGCGGCCGCGCCCGCACTGAATGGCAAAGTTGTGTGAGCACTAACGTTCGTAGCTCCGCGCAGATTTCTCTGATCGGCGCTTTTATCCCCCCAGGGGCGCTCGCGGCGCCGCCCCGCGCAGGTCCAAGAAATCCGCGCGGACCTTCAAATGTTTATGTCTATGCCCTATTCTGGTTCCGCTAGGGGAGGAGCAAGAGGTCATGAGAACGGTACGCTCCATGATGTCCAGAGTCTCCTATCATGTTTCGCACAGGCTGCCGAATCGAGGGCCGCAAGGTCCTCTGGAGATCCTGGAGCGTATGCTGAGCCAGTCGCATCACAGGACACCACTCTCGCCCTATAGTCAAGAGTCAAGACGCTGAACTAAGGACCGCTTTGGGTTTGAATGGGGCTCACTGTTCCTTGGGTCACTCCGTAGTTGTTACTCTAGCCCTTCTCGGGCACCCAGGCGCTTCTGGTGCCAAACAGGGGCTTCGTTCCTTACATATCGCCTCTTTATCTCAGCAACCTGGCTGTATCCTGGGGCTTGGTTGAGACGGGCCTAGAATCGAGGTAAAGACGTTCCAGAGCGTTTCGAAACGCTCTCTGGGCGTTCCGGAACGCTCTGAAATGGCCGCGGCGCCGGATACATCGTCCAAACTTGCCGATCTTCTGATACTTCCGATTCGTGTCGGTCCGATGTCGTCTCGATGCTGTCATCGTCTTGTTGGGTAGAGCCCCCACCCTGCCGAGCCGGTTGGCGATTCCGCCTGTTGGGCCCTTTTTGTGTTCGGCGTCTCGAGAGGGTAGTGCCGCCGCCATTTCTTGCGGGCCA